AGTTTATTTTCTTTTATGTTGTACACGTGTGATTATTTACATAGCTATATAATATCTATCCGTTCGTTGTATGTACAGATAAAAATCAAATGCTTTGGCAAGATAGCTTCAACGTTTATGCAAATTTGCCGTTTACGATACTAACAGCATTTACGTATCCCCAAATCGACATCTTGCACACTCAGGCGAAGAAGACACCGTGGCCAAAATCTCACAGAGGAAAAGGGAAGCTAGTCATATAGTTCAGGCGTAAAACACTGTTGACTCTAACGAAGCAGGTCAGAATTAGTCACTGTTCAGTGATGCCACGCTAGAATGCTCTACCCACAGAATTTACGGCTTTTTAACAAATACCTGTCTTATAGGCTGCGTACTAAGTTAAGAAAATGGTCCCCTATTAAATCTTGCATTTAATGTAAACAGGTTTTTTATTGTATACCTGTTAAAAGAACAAGTAATACGCTAATTACAAGCGTATTTAGCTGTGCAATAGAGACAATCCGATACCGTTTTGAAAATTTTTACAATTCCATATTATAATACCATAGCATTTGTATATATTTCGAACATAATAACTACATGATTGTTCGAACGATTTTACTGACTAATAAGGGAATAACACGCTTCAATAAAAAGTCGTAGGTTAGTTAGATAACAGAGCTGAACGCTGGTTAACTCTTCCCCGACAAATACCACTGCAATACGCTACAACATGCTTGTAGCATAACCCTATTACAAGTATGTTGCGCAGCCAAATTCAATTTTATTTCAATAATAATAATAGTAGTAGTAGCATCTGCTACTACTTTAAGAGATGTAAAGCAGAGGCTCTAGAATTATCAAGAAACTTTACCCCAAACTGTGTATATTTCTATATATCGTTTGTTCTCTCTTAACGGGTACAGTTCAGCTATTTCCTAAATAACACATTGGAACACCTGTGTGCGATTGTTATGTATGTAGTGCACGGGTAGGTCTGCCGTGGTGGTGCTTATAATAACGTATAGACGGGATGATTTCTTCATACGTAAGTTCCGCCATAATTAGCATGAAATGCTCTTACTAGTTCGATACTTGTAGCATAAATTTAGATTTTACATAGTATTATAGCGATACTGTGCAGCCTAGAGCACTATCATGTACTTGAACAATGGCTGACTACTCTTATTTTTACCTCAAAAAAAAACCTTATATTTTAAACACGTTCAGGCCATTCAACAGCAGATACTTCCCTTGCTTATATCTCACATTCTATAGATGGAAGTTCCCTCCCTTTGAAATGAATGAAAACCATGAAACAGTTCTCTTTCGGTTGTATCACTGTTAACCTGCCTGCCGGTGTCAACAGGCATCCCTTGTCGTCCAGCATTAATCGAATGGTCCGATTTGGGGGAAAACTCGCCGCTCCAGGATGGTGTACCTTCCCATGCCGATGCAGGCTGGAGTGGGTAGCTGATCGATAGCGGCACAGTATGCATCTAAATGGTTTTTCACCCGTGTGACGCGAGTCACGGGTCATTTCTCTGCGAATCGCCGCCCGCAGAAGCTGCAGGCAAAAGGCCGTTTTCCAGTGTGAACACAGATGTGCCGTGCTATAGGCTCACCTACATCGAGGAACTGGCCTGAATTAGTGAAGACAATAGGAAGCAAGCTTTAATTCATTCTCTATAAGAAGAAATATGATGGCAATTTAATTTACCACCAGAAGTCCCCGTGCTTTCCAAGACGAAAACGTTTCTTTGCGGATACATGTTATCGGTATTTGCCAATGTTTGGCATTGTCGCGCAATTTGATCTCCCACTCAAATGAAGTTCATCACCATAGCGCTTATCTGACGTGACGTCACGTACGAAGAAAGCAGGCATCGCATCGGTGTCCTTGGAACTCTTGGCTACCAGCTAATCCCTTGCTCTAGGTGGTCCCCCCTGTTTATTGTGAAAGAATCCTGAATGGCGTAATACTGCCTCTCATTAAATTCTCCACAGCGTCATCTGAAATGACGATTAAGCCGAGAGATTCGAATCTAGGAAATAAACGCGCATCGCCATAGCCAATAAGTGAGGGCCGGTGATGAAAGGTAATACTACGCGGATCAAATCTTCAGTAGATAGTTCATGACAAAGTTAAGTCGATAAGTAAACCGGATCTATCTGATTCTGCAAATGTTTGCCAAAAGTACTATATCAGCACGGGTTAAATATTTAGGTACTGGAGATCGCTTTTTGCTCTTGGAGGCCGTGAACGAAATGTGCAAGCGAGGACTCGCTGAAATCAGTCGAGCTTGTCACACGAACGATGCTTTTGATAAGATACGAATTTAGTTTGCATCATAGATCAAATACAAATAAATTTAATGTATATCGTCTTTGTTTTCATTAATAAAGGGCATAGTGCTGTAATGATAATGACATGACCATGTTGTAAAGAAACAGCAATGTTTTTATACGAAAAAAAAAAAGAGATTTTATTTGGTTTAGCAAAACTTAACTACATTGGGTATACACTAATTACAAGGCTATTTTCTTGTCAAAACGCGTTAGCTAAAACTATTGGGTTAGCAATAAAGACATGTTTTAGTGGTTATTATATGTAAACAATTAAATATTTTGATTTTATAAATCCTTCCTGTACTGTGCAGATAGATAGTAATATAATGTATCATAGGAATTAACTCGAATACACATTTACAGGATATGTAAGCCTTTGAACTCCGCGACTATTTTTCAGTCGCCTCAAGTCAGTACGACGCATGACCATAGGTTTTTTGAAACAGAAAAATTTTAAACTGTGTATAATAGTTTCAAGGCAAGTGTTTAATTATACCAGAATGAGGCCCGGCGGGTAATACCAGATGCTGTAACACAAGTAACGTGAAGGCCCCCGAGCGGCTCTCCGAAAGCAAATCAATCTTGGCTTCGTATGGCTATATGTAATATGTAAAACGGTAACTGGCTACTCCTGTATTTTGGATGACGTTGAGCAAATCCGTTTTCCTGCAGCTTCAGGATATCGCCACTGCGAGCAGATAGATGCAACCATTCTACATATCAAAACATACAATGGCGCATAATTTTTCATAGATGACGCTACCGATATTTACAGGATTGCCCTTGATATCTCGACTAGATACGAAAGTTTGAAATCTTTGTGGAAGCTTATAGCTATAGTTATTCTGCAATGTTCGCACTACATTAGATCTACTGTAAAAACCTACTGTTAAAAAAATAAAAGTTAAGAAACCTTGCTCTAAAAGAACGCACAGATAAAGCGATAGTTGCCATATATCTTGTGTTTAATTTGGCAACGTAACACTTTCATGTTAAACTGTGATGAAATGGGTATTGCACTGTAAAAGGACACGAGAACGTTCTTTTAAAATAAAGGTTCTTTACTTTTTGCCGATTTTATTTGTTCCAAGGTTACGTATACATCCTTGCTAGCCTGCGTATCATTGCAAACATTCTAAACATTTCATTTCCTTGAATAGAAATTAACCAGTTTCTTTTTCAGTCCAAAAATGGGTATCGTATTGATTTCATATATATATATATATATACTTTGGCTAGTCAAAGACCTGTTTCACCGAACCGGGACACCCAATCTCTGACCCTGAAAATGGTGAAGCTCTAGCCTCACCAGTAGTTTCAGACATTTTTAAATTGTTCGCTTTTTAAACAGCTCCTTATACAGAGCTCATTAGATAAGAGCCGGAGATGCGTACGTTTCAGAACACTGAAAGGGACCGTAAAATCTGTCCGGCTAGAGCAAATCATGTTACGTAGACAAATACTTATACAAATAGCTTTATTTTTGGTGTTTAGCTGACAAGCAAAATCAATGGCACAGGTTGTTTTAACATGTGTGGGACTTTGGCATCTTTCATACGCTCGTTCGCTCGCTAGCTAATTTAAAGTTCCGCTTGGCCTAGGTTAGCTACATATTAGGAAAACGGGTAATGTAATAACACTGAATAATAGCCTACAATGCATTACTGATTTTGCCATATTCCGTAGCCTGTAGCTTTGTGGTTATTGCACCTGAACACCTATGCGAACTGTTCGTAGATTCATAAGACATTGACGCGGCGCGGTCAAGTGATGCGAACCAGACTAGTCTTATGTACGGTGCGGACGTGTCTCTGAAGTTTACTCATTTGCCGAAATGAATAGCCACAGTGGGGACAAGGAAATGGTCGAGCTCCAGTGTGGATTCGTACGTGGTCAACCATATGTTGTCGGTTCCGACTTCCGTAAGTGCACGGGGGTATACCACAACGGTATTCGGACTCTCCTCGAAAGAACAGCGGTTCCTCGGCTTCAGAACGATTGCCAGCCACGTAATCGATAAAACCGTTTAACGTTGGGTGTAGACCGCTGCCGGTGACAGCGTAGAATAAATAGGGGTCTGAAAATTGTAATAGCTTCAATTTTGACTATATTTTATAACAAATATTTGATCACAAACAAATGTAGTTCACAAAAAAGAAGCGAGAAGCATATAATATATATAGAAGAATACTAATCACCCTAGCTGAATTTAGAATAGAATTATGATTGTTAATGAAAATAAAGCTATAATTAGATAAAATGCAGAAATTAGTAAGATAGATGAGTGATTAGCAATTCATTGGCGGGGTAACGACAAATCATTTGGCGGACTGCGTGATACCTAAGCTACACACGCAGCGGTAGTAACTTAACGAAGCTTAACTAAAATTGAATGTATTTCATCTTAGAGAACCCATACACACAATAGAATGTTTAAAATAAACTTGTATGAAACTTAGAAAACCTTCGTGCCAATGCATGATCTTATTTATGTACGTCGCGATGAACGATGGGTTGCCGTGCACCATCTGCGAAATTCGTCTGCCTGAAAGCATAGTTTATTATTAGTTGATTGATAAGAAAAGCTTATCTATCATATGGAGTGTTGATTGGAAGTAAATTCAAATTGGAATAGCTCAAAAGTGAATACGCCAAACTTTCAAAATCAACCAGGTCCAATATAGATATATATTTCGCTCTCTTCTATATTACAATGCGCCCTGTAACGGGCCGGATTTATTATGTTCATTTAATATCGTACATGCTTATCTGTATACATTAGTGCATACGGTAAATTTCATATAGTTGTAATTCTATTGTATACAACGAAAAACGTTTGTACAAAGATGCAATATAATCGACAAATTGCTTGCTTTTTTTTGTTTTTCTATTTGCGAACCCCAGTTGCCACACAGGTTTGATTCTAAGGCATGGCTACAATAGGTTAGTATGTAGTATCGAATGAAAGATGTGTTGTGGGTCTGACCTATGATTTTCATTGCACTGTTCTTTGCTACTAATAGTACCCCAATACTGAGGACTTTATACATCGGCAATAGATGCTCGAGTACGACAACGACGACATGCCGAAAATCGGTCTGCCGGACTCGTTTGCAGCTGTCCTGTGGCTGGAATACAACAATTAGTGCACGCATGCATGTACAACTCTATACACAAACAATCCAAAACAATAAGAGACCATGGCAAAAGGTGTTCTAGTAAGAAGGATACCGCTCGTCGCTGGACTATTCTCAAGAATACGCCCAGCTTTTTGATGTATGGCATCGGTAATTGTTGAAGTTCTCCTTGCGGCTGTTTCCAATTAGAGACTAAAACGGGTCCAATAAACGCATTGCCCCTACATAGAAACCATCTTCTGAGATAGATTATATTTTGCCTTTAATAAAGTGAAATGTACTGTTGCTGAACGTCCGCATCGGGCGAACCTTTTAACTTTTCAAAAAAAAAAAAAAGATTTTAATTTTAGTCTTTTCCAAGTGTATTTTCTTTTATAATCTGGTTTTACCGATATGGGAATTAGTTTCGGCTACAGATTAATGCCAGCAGTTTGATAAGCCACTGTTACTTGGTCTCAAAACACAAATATGTTTGTTTAACCTCCGAAGCCTCGGCAGATCTTCGCGTTGAAGACGAGGACGGCTATGAAGGGCATTTTACAAACGGTCCTATCTAGGTACAACAAGATTTGCGCCTGTCATTGCGCTACTTGAAGAAATCGACGTCGCAGCAGGTCGAATTCAAAATGTAGGCTTATTGCTTTCTGACGCTCACTCTGGAAGCTGATCGGACTCTCCTACCATCTCAGCTTGTGTCAGTTGACATTTACTTGAGGCTTCATTTTCTCGAACTTCGCGTTTCGGGCTGCAACTTTAGGCAGTGTAGTCGGTGAACATTACGGATGTGCCAGGTCAACATGCTTTTCGTGCGGAAATTCTTACCACACATCACACAGCCAAAGGGTTTAGCTCCAGTATGGGTGCGTACGTGGTCAGTCATGTGCAGCCGCTTCTTTGACACGTACATGCAGAGAAAACAACGAAACTGGGCGCCAACTCGATAGAATAGTTCCTCTTCGGGCGAAGCCGACCAGCTGCACGAAGAGGCTTCCGGGGGAACGTTGCTGACCACAGATTCAAGAGATGCTACAGATTCGAGAAATGTCGATGTCACGGCGGTCGTTTCCACTGTTGGAAGAAATAAATCAACAATGAGATCAAACAATTAAATCAAGGCTCAGCGTAGGAGCGCTTCGAGCCGTCATGTCCTAAAAAGTAGCTGACGATATAAATTAGAATTTCGATTTTAGTAACTTTTTTCGATTTTTTTTTATTAAGCAAAAAAAAAAACGAAGCATCAAATGTTTATGATTGATAGTTAGGATATATCGTTTACCGTTGGTGCCGATAAGACCGATTCAAGTATCAAGGTACAATTTAATAAATGAAAACATAAAAGACAAGTAGCTTGCACTAGGTATAGTTCACGAAGGTGTTCCCTATCCTGACGGTCAACAAATGCAGAAGCTCTTTATCTGGTGGTGCTTTTTGGCTCGTGTTGAACAACTGTAGTGCGTACCATATTTAATGAGAGCAGACAAAGGTTAGTCAGAATCAATGCGACATATACACAGAACTATGTCGTTTCAGCCTTTTTCAGATCGTTACGAGCGCGTCAACGTTTCGCACAGATATACGCCATAGCAGTCGTTAATGCATACCGTTACCCCCAATGCATGCATTCATAGTCGGCGACGTAAACTAGCGGATTTTTCCCGTCCATGCCACCAAACACGACGTTCATACGCGCTCCACTTACGCATACGGAAAAGCTGAGCGTATTCTGTTTTTATTGAAACTATCTATCTGCAAACGGGTGAAACTTGGGTTCCCACTTAAGTTCTATTGGATCTTCCTGCAATAACCATTCTTGGGTCCGCTTTTAGCGCTCTGCGTAGTAGAGAGCAAAGACACGATGGACGTAAACATTAATTGAGAAGCTGCTGATCTCTATGAACAATTAGCAAGACTCATCAATTTACGGCGCTATTTATTCTGTACACGGAAAACACTTTAGATAAAAATAACAGCTGAAGCAATATATTCTTTGAAGTTACATGCAACAGTGTGACATGTACAAGGAAGCTGTAAGAGAATCGCTCCCGGAACAACTTTGTCAAGACCATAACAGATAGAATTATCTTACAGAGTAGCGGTATATATCCGTCCTTTCCCTTCTATACGTATATTTACTTTTTATACGTTTGAAAATCTCGGCAGATTTGTATACATCTATAGATCTAGCGATACATATAATGTTGGAAACAAGTTTCTAAAATCGATGCTCGACTTGACTCCTATTTGAAGGTCGACAGGCTGGGTAGCATCGAAGCTTACGGTGTCTTAAATTTTATTCGTCGATCGGCGTAATTCGAAGCACAGCGTCTAGTTGAACAGGTACTATTCATTTGATTGATACTATCACCAAATATGTTATTCAATAATCGCTTGGAGCACATCTTCTGAACGGATACCCTAATATCAACATGCTAAGTTGTCGCCGTCGTTCCCGGTGACCGAGACTGCCGAATCTGTAACGGTCACACAACAATTAGTTCGAGTTCGTTTGACGCATATCATAAATATTATCGCAGGGGTTTCTACAATGTCTATGGAAAATGATCGTCACCGGACAGTGTTATATACTGATAATCTATGCTGTAACAGCAGCAAGCAGTCTATTCGACCGACCAACAATGATCGACGTGAAGTATGATCACCAATTCTAAACTTAGAAACTCGGTCAAAGTTAAAGGTTAAAGAATCGAGCCGACAGGTTAATAGGCGATTGTGAAGCATCAAGCTTTAGCGGTCTAGCCACAATCTCGACACAAGACGGCCTGAAGCAAAAGGATCTATACGGTCCCACACACTACCGAAGATTTTCACCTATGGTCTTCACCTCCGTAATCCCGAAGGAGTCTGACAACGAGCAAATCTAGCTAGCTGACTAGCTGTTGTTCTTAGTGGTAGGAAACAATAAACAACGGCCAGAAATAAAAGGATGATTTTTAATGAAATTAAGCTCAAATACGCTATTAATTGCGCTGTTCATAAATATAAACGGGGGGATTTATCATATCCTGCTCAGTTTCAGTCGGCGACACGTTTCCAAACTGCGAACACTCTGTGATCCTTAAAATAACTAGTTTCATCATTAAAACATTTTTAAACAGAATTTTTTTGATGGGTTCAGAATAATAATTACACGCAAGCCATTTTTATGTGGCACACGAACACAGATAAGCTTCAATAACAAATACTCAGGAACGGTTTCTTGTTTGTCGATATTTATTGACGTACAACTTCCTGAAGACCAACGACGGCCTCGGATCTATTAGCGATTCTTTCATGACGATGATTTAAGACCATAAATCATTACCAAGCAAAGGATTAAAAATATGACAATACTATATTTGTGTAAAATACTTGTTTTATTTGAATAGTGTCAGTATATTATCTGTAATAATAATAATAGTATTTTGTAATCGCTAGCCTAGATAATTGGGATGCACAGAAATTTTCCTTTTTGTCTGCTGTCATTCATACCCTTCGTATTGTAGAGCACATCGTTCTATCAGTTCATATCTGTGTTTCTAGATTGAGTCAGGCGAATCTGCACGAGTTTGATCGCGAGTAATGGTAGCATCATTAAAATTAAGAATCGTAAGAATAACAACGATCATCATATGAGAAAATCATTACAAAAAATCCTGGCCCATCCCCGACATAGATGGCGGTGTCAGCTATATCTCGCTACGTAAATGGGCGACATACTTTTTGTCTCGCTTTCATATATGCGTGTGTGTGTGTGTCTGTCGTGTGTGTGTGTGTGTGTGTGTCGTGTGTGTGTGTGTGTGAGTGTGGGCGTGCGTGGCTGTGTGTCATTTTTTTCGTCATAGTACGTACAGAAATAAGCAAGTTCCATAATCCACTGTGATTTACAATGTCACAGCTCATATATCTAATACTCAAGTGAAAACACTACCATCGGTTTGTCGATAATATCAGTTCTATCATATGCCAATATTTATATATGGATCTAATCTTACAAATCTATTATCTATAATATGGGAAGATTTTTTTGATTCAGCAAAATAGTCCATACGCCATTATGACGATTCTTCCTTTCAGTTCGTAATGGTATCTAGTAACAGCATTACTTTACTTATTCCACTTCCTCTATCTAATTTCCATGAATAACATACACTTGGAGACAGCCGGCTCAAGGTGTTCCGTTCTAATTACCGTCTATCTAAGATCAAGCAGTTTCCCAAACACTCGCTGTGAGTCTCATCTTTCGTACAATAGGAAATAGCGAGCTACAGACAATCGGAAATCGACCGGGCTCGTTTAGCGAACGAACAGTCCCCGTCCGCGATTCATAGGCACCAAAGCGGTAGGGACGCCTACGTGTACGATCGACTTCAGCAAAGGCAAACTCGAACTTCAGCAAACACCCCTACGCAGCCCTCTTTCTCTCACTCTGTTTAACGTCAGTTAACTTTTTTTAAAAGCAATCTTTTCCATCGAACATGTCCTGCTACACGTAGCCACGCATGGTTCACCGACCATGCCAACACTACATATGGGACTGCACTTCGACTTCATTGGTACAGGACTCGAGCGATGAAAGACTATTTGCCCCCGGGCACGCAGATGTGCCCCCTTGACGTGGTGGGCTCGCCCCTTGCGATCCTGTCGTCCAAAGCCTCCGCCACGCGCAGCTATGCTGCGATCAGCAAAGAGGAATCGTCATAGAATCAACATGTTGTAAGCGACCGGCTGATCTGATGGCGTATGATCGACTATAGTTTTCGATTCGTATTTGTCAACCGTTCGTTTAGACATTACTAGCTCGGTACACCGTTTTCGGCTGCCAAACCTTTCTGGCATACTGTAGTGTTTTTCTTTTTTTTTTTTTATAAGAAATTTTTCGATTCATTCATTTTTTAATATCGTCCCACCACCACCACCACGACAGCTGTTGTCAAATCGTTCTAACCCAATGCACCATCACTACAAGAACGTTCTTGTAAGCAGCATGTAGAATCAACATGAATTGAATATTTCACTCAGTGACATGATTCACCTAGCCGTTGCTCTACGTTATTATTGCAACACTTTCATTATATACCATTCAGTGATTAATATATCGTCGTGATAATACAATATCATTTCGCCTTCGCTATTATTGCACAAGAGCTATAATGGTAATACTATTTAAATTAATACTTTCTAGTTGTTGTCATTTTTTAATAGTTTCATAAATCACCAACGGAAGGGCTTCACTCAAGAAATCTGTCATAGCAATAGTGTCATAAAGGCAGACAAGTGACTTCCCGATGAAGTACTCTGCTGAGTCGCGCCCCCCGAAAATTGGACTGCTTGCGCCGTAACGTTCGGAAGAATCAAAAATAGTAGTTGCGGTAATTTTGTTTATGACGACCTTCTGAAACGAAAATAGATAAAATCTCTTAAATACGAAGTGCGCTCATCAGTATGATGCTCTATAACGTCATCGAACAAGAAGCCGCATTGAATCTACTCTACGGTTATCCCCTTCAAGTCACGTCCTCCGTTGTCACTTACTCGCGTCCCATATAGACTGACTGTCAGACTGGTTCGAAGTTTAGCAGAAGCTAGTAGCTAACGGTAAATCTGTTAGCCAATTTGTAGAATAGCGTGCGTCGACATGTCTAGCCTATTACTAGGCGCGATACATAATCAAGCATCGATTCGCAAACCTTTGCCGCGTTCCTCTTCCATCTCGCCAACAAGTTCCGACCCATATCAAAACTTAGAGCAACTCCCAATGAACGGAATGCAAAAAATACTAGATATAGAAGAAATAACGAACGCATACAACCCCTAAAAGACTTTAAAAAGCAGAAAGGATAAACATACACACCATGAATATAACCTTAGATAAGCATTGTCCTGGCAAGTTCCTACTATTCCTTTCCTCGACAACCATTAACTCCACACCGACATGCACTTACGACCTCTGCTGATCCATCCACCCGATAACAACGAATACACTCGAAAAAGAAAGAGACACTCTACGCGAAAGCCGTCGTGATTCGTTCTCCCTTCTTTACCGAGTGAGCCCTTCCTTGAAAGCAACGACTTTCACAAACATTCACTGACGACAAACCGCCTATCTATAATTAATAATAGTCATTGGTCAGCGTAAAATAATACAATCAATAGCACTGCAGTCATAATACTATACTCAAAGAGATATTAATGCACACAAGTTTGTTTGAGACCATCTCCATCTTTAGTAACATTGTTGTGTATTCAACTTTGTCAATATATATATATATATATATATATACATATATATATATATGTACATATATATATATATATATGTATGTATAATATTTATATGTACATATGTTCACCAAGTCGTTTATCTGGATTGCGTCTCGTCTCCTCCGCATCGTAACCCATCGTCTGGGTATGTCTCTTCATTTATTCCTTGTACTGCAGTCTAGGTAATTTGTCTCTCGTGTTACTACGCCCGTACCAGAGGACATTTTCCTGTCTGAATTCTCGTTGTCGCATAATTTCATCTGGTACAGGTAGATAATTAAACCCATCTGACTGGTGCTTCCCGTCCATATCCTACATGTTTCTCTCGATTTCTTCTGCTAGTCAAATTATTCGTTGTTTTGCTTCGCGCCAATACGATCAAAGCAAATATCTTGTGTATTGCAAAATAGTACTCTTAGCAAAGCCGCGAAAATAGCTCTCGCACCCGCACCCTGATTCACCATCGTTGATTGCTCATTGATAAGTCACTCTACCTTATCTCGTTCACCATTGCGTCGTCATTGGTTAAGTGATCAATCATTTTCTAGATTACCTAAAGAATATTGCTATATCATTTTTGCGTAAGTAAGGTGTCGCGGTCCTCCACTGCTTGGACCGAACCTGTGACACCTATTACAACACAACCTAGGCCAGCAGTCGGCTAATCGATTTCATACATTCAGTTCTATCGAACCCGCCATAATAACACTATCAATAACGTTATTTTCACTTTTGGTAAGATAAGCTTATCTTAATCGTTGTCTTAATTTACCTACTCGTACCATTGCAGATATTGGCCAGCGTTAGCTCGGCGCGTTGTAAATACAGTGTAGTCTATTGTTCCTGTTAATAAATGAATATTTGTAATCATACAGTTAATAATGTACGCTACGAGCCACCTTTCACGAATTTTGTCTTGTTCGTGTATTGTCGAAATCCTTCCGTTGCAATTCGTTGATGACATCTCATTTCGGTAGATGTTCAGCGTGCAAACATATTAAAAAATCATAACCCCCGCCCTATCCGAAAACCCTGTCCACGAATGTTCAAAGGCCCTTTTGCACCAACAAATATCTAAAAAGCAAAAGAAGCAGTATGAAGAAAATTTTCAAATTTATACATTTACGCTTTGCGAATTAAAAGACTTCCTTCCTTCCTTATGTACCAATGAAAATCGTAGTGACAATATGAAAACGAGCATAAAAAACAAGGCGTCCCTTTGTCACCGTTGTTCTATTCAAGATCAGAAAATTTACCAGGATAGGAAATCAATAATAATAATAATAGTAATAACAACAATAATAGTAATAGTCGGTCTATAGGCCCGTGGCTGTTGCTATGACGACATCACAGTATGTGTAGTTGCAAATTGCTAAACCTTTTTTTGGCCGTGTAGGTCTGGCTAGTTCTCCCTACGGAAGGTACAGTGAGAAAAGGACGGACGCATCTCATCGAAGCTATTTAATTATACCAAAGAAGCGCCGGCGTATCGGCGCTCACAGGCATCTTGTGAGTGAGCTTCAAATGGCGTGTGAGAATGCTTTTCTGCGAAAAGGATTTGCCGCAAAGGGTACACTTAAAGGGCTTTTCCCCAGTATGTGTCCGTACGTGGCAAGTCATATGTCCTCGTTGGGGACTCGTGTACGGACAGTATTTGCACGAGTGCATCCTATTAACAGGGTCGTACGAGTAGTGGTCGGCGTCCTCAAACGACGGGAGAATCGAATCGACTGACTCTTCGTCGACAACGCGGAAATGTGGTGAAAGTTCATATTTTCGATTGGATGATTTTCGCGACCGTTCAGGCGGACTCTCGTCACCAAGGCGGAAAAAACCAAGATTCGACGAGGACGAGGACACTGGAATTGAACACGGAAGTCGCAAGTTGAACAAACGAGACAAAAATAAAATACACAGTAACTTAACACATACATGAATAACGCATTAACAAAATCTAAAATAGACCCGGTAATAAACCAAAAATAAAAATAAGAAAAATTTTATATACAGTATATATATAGGAGAGGGAATACACAAAATGACAATTGCTAAATGAAAAAAATAATGAGAAATGAAAAAAGCGGCGAACCGAATAGAATACAGCGGATGAAAAAATGGCAAGCATTTATTAGCAAATAACTGGAGACGGAATATAATCAAAATGTATCGGATATATGTGGAGCTGGGGGACCCAAGCCAGCGATCCAAGTGAAACCACAGATTCAATCTAATTGTCCATGCGATACAGGATCCTTCTACGTTGACATCGTTTTACTAGAACACAGCTGTAGAAAGAAACTGCTTCTGAAAGAAGACAACTTTGGTTAGTTAGGTAGCGAAAATGGATTCTGTCACTTCGGTTCTATTTGTCAATTTATTGAGCGTACGCTGCTTTGATTTAAAATAGGACGAAGCGCTGCTTCGAAAATCTATAATATTTATGCACTTCACTTAAAACATATGGTCCATAGTTTTTATACGACTTTTATTTCATCATTTTACATACACTTGCATACTATGTATATATACATACATGAACATAGTGTGTTTATTGTATACAATTAAAGTGTTTATTATCGTTTTTATATTACTCTGGCTTGTGACTTTTACTTTGGTTTGATGCTGATATCACTAAGGTTGACATTCACGTAAATTAGATACTCGAATGATAAAAATAAAGGATAAGTTAATTTGCTATTCAGTAGCATATTTTGTTAACAAATTGCAGTCTAGATCATCATATCACTCTAATAATATTCGTGTGTCGCATAGAGCGTCGCATCGTACGACAGCAAAAAACGAGAACAGATAAAGGAAGAGTTTTTGGCTCTCTGACTACCATTTCACCCTCTGGCACATGTATGGTCAATCCGATAACGAGGATTAGAGGTATGAAATAAAGATTAGAAAGTACTCGAAACAGGCCAAACGTAGACGGTTCAGGAAGCCGTCGTCTGCACAATCGTCTCGCTTCTTTGTTGAATGACAGTGCCAAAAATAGGGTGACTTAAGAGAGAAGACACGTATGAACTCTTAAGATATGAGATTGCACATTCGTTTCGTTTACCATCACGATTATCGTCACCATTAGCATAACTATCAGGGTCGTTTCGTATATTAAACATCATCACGAAAATCCTACCTTCTACTGTGTATAATCTAAAACATAGCAAAAGATGTTTGTTAAGTCATGAATTACATGTATATAT